AAACGACACAATTACAATAGGCCTTCGCAGCGCTTTGCTGCTCGGGCCTAATAATAATAAGAAACAGTACAATTACAATAGGCCTTCGCAGCGCTTTGCTGCTCGGGCCTAATTAGAGAGACGGGTGGGAAGGTATTGTCATCTGGACAGAGAATGGATGATAAGGAAACCTGGCGGTGGAATAGTGAAGTGCAGGAAGCTATCCAGAGGTTAGCCAAGAAGAAATATGATGAGAGGACTGAAGAGAGGAGACAGGAATATAAGGAGATGCAGGACTTGTCCAGATTGGCGAGACAGGGATCAGGCTGGAAAGGATGTGCAGCAGGTTAGGCTTGTTAAAGATAGGAATGTAATGTTCTAAAAAAAAAGTGAGGAGAATGTAATGGGAAGATGGAAGGAGTATTTTGAGGAGCTAGAGAATGAAAGAGAAACTGTGGACCAGGAAGTGGGAAAGATTAGTGAGGGTGAAGTTTGGAAAGCTCTGAAAAGGATGAAGACGGGGAAAGTAGGACCTGATGATGTACCAGTGAAGGTTTGGAAATGTCTTGGAGAGATGGCAGAGAGGGTTTTGACTCGAATATTGAATGGAATGAAAAAGACGTGTGCCCATTTTTAACAACATGGGTGATGCACAGAGTTGGGAATTAAGTTGATGAGTCACACGATGAAGATCTGGGGGAGAGTTGTGGAAGCAGAGGGGACTATTTGTGAACAGCAGTATGGTTTCATGCCAAGAAAGAGCAACACAGATGACGTCTTTGCTTTGAGGATGCTGATGCAGAAATACAGAGAGGGTCAGAAAGAACTCCAATGTGTCTTTGTGGATTTAGAAAAAAACGTATGGCAGGGTGACACAAAGACAGGAGAAAGAACTGGAGGTGTCAGAAATGAAGCTGTTCAGGCTCACCTTAAGTGACAAGGATGGATAAGATCAGGAATGAGATCGTCTGAGGTACAGCACAGGTTGAACAACTGGGAGACAAAGTTGGGGACCTGAGATGGTTTGGACATGTCCAGACTGGGTATACTGGTAGAAGGATGTTAGAAATGCAGCTGCCAGGAAAAAGACAAAGAGGAGATATATGGACACAGTTCGAGAGGACATTTAAAAAAAACTTTATTTAACTATAACAATACAAAACAAAAAGTACCAATTCGTACAATCAAAAGTTACAAAAGGTGATTCATAGCATAATGGAAATAAAAGAAATAAAAATTTAAAAAAGGCATTATATGAGGAAATTAAAACTAACCAAGAAACTAAGAAACTTGCCAGCATTTTTTTCATTTACATGTTTTAAAGGTTCTGCATAGGACTTTAGCTCATTCTTCCAGCGGTTCACATTAGGTTTACATTTGAAAAAAAAAAAACGACATTTATGAACATAATGTTTAGCTGATACAATCAAATTATTGATAGCATATTCATTATTTCCAATCTTATTAATTAACCCAAATTTGATTTCTTTTAAAGTGAGAGTAAGTAGCTGAATCCCTTTGGATTGGATCCACATTTTAAAATCAAGCCAAGTTGGAGAGGACATGGACAGAGGACTAGAGCTAAGCGCCTGGATTTACGCATGCGCGTTTGTATCCATGAAAATCAATTTGTTGTAATTTCACCGTTCTACCAGCAGGGAGCAGCATCGCACCGTCTCTCTCGTCAAGTTCTGTTGACTTCTAACCGGAAGTCCCGTCCGGCTTCACTTGTAAGTTACTTTTCCTCCCGACAAATCGACTCTGTTGTTCTTTCGTCTGTGAAAGAAGCGGCTCCAGCCGGAGACAAAAGGACCGGGATGGAGGAGTTTCAGAACGGAAACGAGGTTTGTGTCCGAAACGAAATCTATTTACATTTTTGTGGTGGAATATTAGCTGGAAGCTAATCGGCTAAAGCTAAAGTAGCCGCTCCCAGCAGTGATGCAAAACAATGGTAAATGGTAATGGTAAATGGAGCTTACTTCTATAGCGCCTTCCAGCCCCCTATGAGGGGCCCCAAGGCGCTTTACAGTACCAGCCATCCACCCATTCACACGCACATTCATACACCGGTGGCGGTAGGCTGCCATGCAAGGCGCCATCCAGTCCCACCGGGAGCAACTCGGGGTTAAGTGTCTTGCCCAGGGACACAACGGCACATGGTGTGGGAAGTCAGGATTCGAACCTCCAACCTTCCGATCAGAGGTCGGCTGCCACTACCACTGCACCACGGCCGCCCACAATGACTAAATTTAAACTGAATTATTTTAAAGTCCCAAACTTGTTATATAATTTTTTTTTTGTTTTGTTTTCAGAGCTCATTCAACTCAGATGAAGCTGATAACATCGTTAAAGAGGTACTTTAAACATTTTTATCTATTTTTTCTTCTCTCTGTGTTCACGAATGTAAAAAAACATCACATTTATTGCTAAATATCTAAAACTAAAAAGTTGAAATTACAATAATTATTCAGTTCTAAAGGATAAAACTGAATTCAAGTATTTTTAACATGCAGAATTCGTGCTCATCATTTATTTTCTGTTCTATTTTCTGATTTCAAATTGTCAAACAAACGAATATTAAAAAAAAAAAGCTGAAATAAACAAAGTAGTTCATTTAAAAAAAAATCAAAGTTATTTCATTGATAAATATATTAAATAGAATAAAATCTACTTGTAGAAAACATCGCTCAAAAGTTTATACAACTTTAAAAATAAAAAAAATCTGCTTGTGTTTTTTTTAACTGGCATCATTTTTTTTTTTAATTATTTTTATTAAATTCAGCCAGCACAACTTTTACATTCGAGTAGGTTAAAAAGAAATAAAGCTCTTTATTTCTTGTAGAAACAGATTTTTAAATCTGTAAAATGTTTATTTTCCTTGTTTTGTTCTGCAGAGATCATTAGGAGGAAAAGACGTGCCGAAATCTGTTGTTTAGTAAAAAATTTTGATGCTAAATGTCGTTTTAATGACATTTTGTTTGAGAAGGATCCAGTTTAAAACCTGTTTTGTAACTTTTGTAAACCCTGTAGGTTGTTTATGAGAGATAAGCAGCCTTTGATTATTAAAAAACAAACTGAATACAGTATTTATTGTTTCATAAACCTCCTGATTTGGTTTCTGAACCGGTGACTCCCTCATGACTGAACCTTGACGTGTGTGTTTGTGTCAGTGTATCGAGAACGTGGTGGGAAAAGAGGACTACAGCCAGAACCAGGTGAACAAATGGACCTCCAGCATCGTGGAGCGATGCATCTCTCAGCTCGTCAAACTGGGGAAGCCCTTCAAATACATCGGTACCAGTCGAGCTTCGCTTCTGACTCGAGTTCGTTCAGCTCAACAGAAACTAAACGGCTCTTTTACAAACAGATTTGCGATAATTCTGCGTTTCGAAGCAGAAACGTGTCGAATGTACCATATTTTTCGGATTATAAGGCGCATTAAGCGAAACAAAACGGATAAGTGGAACTTTATTCAACTCATTAACCGCGTAAAATCTGTTTGAGGTCAGTCAGCACAACCAGAATTGATACACAAGGTTGATTTTTGAGCAAACGAAAGGATTTTAAGTGCGCCTTATAGTCCAAACAATATGGTAAATAAAAACTGGATGATGTGATCTGAAGCTCTCATAAATTCCTATTTTATTTAATGTCAACTTATCAGATGAATTTAACACATTCTATTATTTTTATATAAACAAGCACATTTTTTTATTTGATGGCAGCAGCGCATCTGTAAAATGTTTCCGGTAAAAAAAAAAAAAAAAAAGGCTGTAACGGTAATAGATTTGGATCAAAATCAGGTGGAGGAGCATTTTATAACTTGCTCATAGTTGAATTGGCAACAGATAATTCAGAGTACAGTTGTCCCTCGTTTATTGCGGGGGTAACCTCACCCCCCCCCCCCCCCCCCCCCCCCGCGCAATGAGCGAAAATCCGCGAAGTAGCGACGTTGTATTTATTTTAGTATTTATTAGGGATGGGTCCGATCCAGTATCGGTATCGGGCTCCGATTATCGGATTTTCCGATCCACCTGCCGATATTTCCGATCCATGATGCCAGTTGGCTTCAAACTATGGAATGGATTTCCTGAACGGAGGCGTGTCTCATGAACCCAGAGTAATAAGCCCCGCCTCACATTCAGGAAATCCAGTTCATAGTTTGCAGCCAGCTACAACGTGAGGACTGAGTTAGCATCACTGTGGCTAACGGCTAACAAACTTTTCTTCTAAACATGTCCGCCGTGTGGAAGTATTTTACACTAGAAACAAGACGGCATCGTGCAATGTCTGCAGAGCCGTGGCGCCACATTAAACCGCGGTAAAGTTAGTTTTACGATGGACATTCGAGCTCCGGGGCTTCAGCGGTCTGTTGTTTTCGTTCAGTCCGGAGAAGGCAGTCTGATTTCGGTCAGCCGCGCTCAGTCTGTCCGTGTCGGAAGAGGGACAGACTTGAGCGCGGCTGACCGAGATCAGACTGCTCGCTGCGGATTGAACAAGAAAAACACACCGCTGAAGCCCCGGAGCTCGAATGTTTACCGAGAAGTTGCTAAACTTCTTCGTAATTAATGACCAACCACTATCAGTTGTAGAAAACGAAAGATTTCACAGCTTGATACTTGCAGCCAAGATATAGTTTACCCTGCAGGAGATATTTATCAGTACAACAGTAGACAATCATAAAAAACATATGATTTGAAAATTATATTAAAAACAAAAACAGCTACATTATAAAGTGATGTAAAATACTAAAAACAGGAACATGTCTGTTGGTTTATGCCATGAACTTAGCAGGCTAGGAATAATAAAAAAAAAAAAAAACATGTTTTGTGTTAGAATTTAATTCTAACTTTAAAACTTATCCAACATTAATAAAACTTACCTCAAGTTGCCTTTTTGGACATGCATGCATAGATTTGTACAAACTGTACTTGAGAGGAGATTATTACAGCTTCAAATAAAATCAATGATGATCATGATATCGGAACTGGATCGGTATCGGTCGATATTCAGATTTAGGTATCGGGATCGGATCAGAAATAAAAAGAAACGTGGATCGGTGCATCCCTAGTATTTATATACGTTTATATAAAAAATATATATTTATTTAATATTTTAATGCTTTATAAATACTTCCCACACTCTTGCAATGTTCTAAACTCTTAAACCTACAAATTTTAACAATATACTTACCAGTGTTTCCCGCACCATTATACAAGCGGGGCACCCCACCCCATCAACAGAACTGAGCCCCCCCCCCCCCCCCAGTCGTCACTGACGTAACGCCAAACTAGCGGCTCACAATTCAAGCGCACTAGCTAAAACGCTAAAGGCAACCTCTTCCCTGACCCCCCCCCCACACACACACACACACTCTAAAACTGTCAGTACAAACAGCGTGCGGCTATGTCCCCCCCCCCACTCTAAAACTGTTGATATAAGCAGCGTGCTGAGGACGTTTCTCTGTCCTCCCCACCCCCCTCGACAAAAATCACCAACGAGATGAGCGCCCCGCCATGACAAGTAATCTAGTTACTGTATGTAGCTACTAAATTTTACTCACTCAGTTTCGCTCCGACTTGGTTCCATTTCATCGGACCTTCTCTGCTTGTTCTGGTCGGCTCTCTGGCCCGGGGGGGGTGGTGGGCTTCGGAAGGAGCGCTAGACCTACTGGCGACGCTTCTCCCGCTCAGGGGTTCTTGTGGGCCAGCTACCAGATTTGCTGATGGGTCTGGAGGTCCGTTCTGGGCTGGTTCTGGTCCAGTTCCCAGTCGGTTCTGTACAGCTCTCTGCATCCTCTGGATGCTGAAGTCACTATAATAAGCGCAGAACTTTTTCCCATCAGATCAAAACTTTCCCTGTAGTATTTCAGCAGAAGGCAACAGGGTTTCTGGGAAATGTAGTCATTAGGAGTTGGGATACAGTGTAGGCTTATTGAGAGAAAACTACAAAATGGCAGCGCCTGTCCAAAGTATTTTATTCTTTCGTTTACTTTTTACTGTACAACAA